CCCTTTTCCTGGTCTTAGGCGGCCCCACATGCATTGGCAATATTTGACGTGGCAACAATCAATTGGGTAAAATGTGGACCCACCAGCACGTGGTGTGGTGATTTTTGGTCAGAATCTTGACGGGGTTTATGTGCGGCAGTCGACGCTGTCTTATTTGCAATTTTTGCACGTAATAAGATAAGACCACTGTTACTGTCATTGATTGAGATTTTAGTTTCCTTTTATTATACTCTTAGTAGTATTTCTTTGTCTAATCTCATATTTAAAAGCTAATTACCCACAAATTTTGGTCAATTGGTCTCCATAATTCCCAAATTATATTAGTATACTATAGAGCATGGAAAATCAACTTAGACGGCTAACTTCATTGTCAATCTAATATTAAATAAATAAATGTATATCTTAAATAAAAATAAATAATTAATTAATAATACATTATAATATAAATTTATAACATCATGTGTTATTATAATTATATCATTTTTTATAGGTCAAATTAAAATACTGTTTGTCTGTCATATAAGTATTCTTTTTCTTTTTTAGCATTATTGTTTTAATATTTAGACGTGATATTATGAATTGAAATAAATGTATATTAATCTCGACTTTTAAAATAAATTAAAGTCTAATATTAAATTATGTCATTTTATTTAATTAAAATTTAATTCAAAATTTAAAATTTTACTTTATTAAATGTCAATGTTTAAAATATATAATTAATTTTTAAATCTAAATATTAACATTTAATAAGATAAATTTTTGAATTTTAAATTAAAATGTTAATTTCTAAATATAAATTAAAACTTTAATTTTTTAAAAAGAAAATTGAAATTGATACACATTAATCTTTTATAGATTAAAGTGATTAACAGTAATTAATATTAACAAAAATTTACTTGTGAAAAAACTAAAACAAGATCAGTATCATCAAAACACGAATCTACGTATGGGTATGCATAATGTAATTTTGTGAGCTCCACTACGACAAATGGGCAATGACGTAATAATCCCAAAAAGAGGGATTTCTTCAGTGACTTTCCATAATAATTAAAACTTAAAAGCATATAGATGATGAACCTTGTAAATGAAGTCCCATAGTAGGTGAGAGCTTCATAGATACACCCTTGTTCTTTTTTCTTCCCAAATCAACAGCTTAAATTCCCCGATTTCTTGTGCATGGTAAGTAAGAAAACCTCAGCTAGATTCCTGCATATATCAATCTAGAATCTCTCATATTATATCCCAAAATATTAATCCCCAAGAACTTCCCTTTTTTTTTTTCCTTAGCTACAAGTAAGCCATGCACTTAAGTTCATCAACATTTCAGTATTCGATCTTTTTGGGTTTCTTTGGAAGAAATTCATTTCATATCTCCTAAGAAAACCAATCAGAAAACCCTAAGTTTCTTTTTCTTTTCCGTTCTTGTTAGTTAGTTTTTGCTGGTAATACTGCAGTAGGTAGCAAGATTAATTCTGAAAGCATCATTTGGTGTCGTTTTCTTTTTGTGCAGAAGCAACATAGAAATGGAAGGAGGAGAAGGAAAGGAGGAGAAATTGCCACCGGGGTTTCGGTTTCATCCCACAGATGAAGAACTCATCACATACTATCTGGTAAACAAGATATCAGATGCAAACTTTACAGGAAAAGCTATAGCTGATGTTGATCTCAACAAATGCGAACCCTGGGACCTTCCAGGTCTTCTTATCTCCAACCTAGTTTTAAATTTTTTGGCTGTACTGATTATTTCGTAATTTTTTTTACTTTAATATCTATTTTTTCTATGAACTCTATATATCCAAGATCTTTTCTAATTTAGTAAATGCCATACTGCAGCATATGTCATTAATTCCAAATAACTACTCCACGAATAATAGCAAATTTCATCTGATCATTCTTTTTTTGGATGTCTTAATTAATTAAGATTTTTCTGAGAATTAATTTCTTTCTAAGGCCTGTTTCCTTGTTTTCTTAACCTACGTAGAGAAAATGGCTTGAAAATATTTATTAATGTCTACCTAATCAGGGAAAGCGAAAATGGGAGAAAAAGAGTGGTATTTTTTCAGCCTTCGAGATCGGAAGTATCCAACTGGAGTGAGAACAAACCGAGCGACCAACACTGGGTACTGGAAGACCACAGGGAAAGACAAGGAGATCTGCAACAGTGAGACATCAGAATTGGTTGGGATGAAGAAGACTTTGGTTTTCTACAGAGGTAGAGCCCCAAGAGGAGAGAAAACCAACTGGGTCATGCATGAATATCGTATTCACTCCAAATCCTCCTACAGAACTTCCAAGGTACATATATATATACCATTTCTTTTATTTAATTCCACAGTATATAGTATGATTTATCCCTAACTGATTTTCTAAAGTTACTAAAATTTCATCTTTCTGTCTCTGCAGCAGGATGAATGGGTAGTTTGCCGTATTTTCCAGAAGAGCGCCGGTGTTAAGAAGTACCCTTCGAACCAGTCAAGAGCAGTCAACCCCTACAGCTTTGAAATAGGGCCGAGTGTTATACCGTCGACCATGATGCAGCCGGAGAACTTTCATCAGTTTCAGATGGGAAGACACTACGTCCCCAACACGGAACTAGCAGAGCTTTCCAGGGTTCTAAAAGGCACTCATGCAAGCAGTAACATAAACCAGCTGCCAATGCAACCCCCGATGAACTATCCGGTCGGAGGAGGGTTTACGATATCCGGACTGAATTTATATCTTAGAGGAGGCACCACAGAACCGGTAATGAGGGCAATGCAACCGCCAGTTACTCCCCAGGCGATGAATCAAGCGGACGTTACGGCGTCGTTGATGAACTGCGGCACTTCTTTTGCTGGTGAGGCTGGGTATGGAGCAGAAATGAGTAATGCAAGTGGGCCGAGCAATAGATACATGGGAATGGACCATTGCTTGGACTTGGAAAACTACTGGGCTCCTCCCCCTTACTGAGGTGGGGAAAATAAATTCAACCAAATTCAAATTTGACTCAGATTGTTACGGTAGAAGAGAATGGTTTAATTATGCCTAAGATTAATTAGTTTGAAATACTGATGTTGGCCTGTGGGGAGCATTTATGGGTAAAATACCCACCTGTTGAAGATATATATTTCTTTTATTAGGAATTCAAAATGTTATATTACTATTTAAGAATTAAATATATTGTTCACTTTCGAAAGAGAGACTCAATAATTAAGAGTTTAAGATTTTAAATTTAAATTTTAAGTCGAATGGAGAGAGATTTAAGAAAAAAGAAAGGCTATTCTCTCTTACATAGCCTATTGTTATTAGATGTATAAAAAAAAATTAAATATATTATTCTCATGTTTTGATATAAAAACTTGAGTTTTTATACCCTGTATGCCAATTTCATACCATTGCTTGACACAGAAAAGCATGCAATTTCAATGGGCTTTGGACCCAATTTAGCATTCAATTGGAAGTGTTCTATTGTTATTAATTTAAATATATTAAAATATAAATTTATTTACACATAAATTTTATACATTGTATTTATATAAAATTTTAATTATT